TTTTTTATAAATTTAACTTAATCATGCTTAATCTTGAATGTAAAATAATCGATCAAACATGGTTTGATAATCGCCAACAGCATCCTACTTTCACAAAAAATATTATGGCTCAGTCAATTATTTTTTCTTATGTATTTTTCTATATTCACTCGTTCTTTGAAGACTAGTAAGGTTCGGTTCAGTTCGACGTCATCTTTTAAGGAGTGGTTCGAATTCGGGTGGGATGGTTCTTTTCTGGTCTCCCATTAGTACAAACATTTCTGATTTCATTCAGATTCATAATGAATCGCTAAGATCTGATATAGATATAACGCATGTGTACAGTAGGCTTATTTAATCAATGAATAGTTTAACAAAAATAAGTTACGAAAATGAAATAAATGACAAGCAAATAGCAACAAGAGAAACAGAAAGGAATGCTAGTCAAAAGGTAACAAAATATTTGTTCGAAATGTAAAAATAAAAAAGACAGCGTTTGCATTGATAATCGATTATGATCGGAAATATCAATCGTATTTTAGAGGTTTATATTTTGCGTACTTTATATAAGTACAGTGACGCTAGCAAAGATATATGAGTTCTGCATTTTAGCCCCACAGAAGCTGTACTAACGAATTTTTCTATACTTGAAAGAACATATCAATATGCGAGGCATGACATAAGTTTTTTGGAGAAAACGAATGAAAAGTTCAATCTTTAAAAATCTTTAGAAAAATAGCGTTCCACTTATAAAAGTACTCTGCTGTATACTAGTAGCAAAGTTTAATTCAAACAAGGAACTCTGCCATGGCTTTTATCTTGACATGGTGTTTGAAACATGAAAAAAGATGGCCTTAATTACAATCAAGCTCTTAGCAAAATTTTAGGATGTATAACGATCAAAAGAACCTTAATAGAAAAAACGAGCTGCCAAATAAGAAATATGATGTCATTTATGAAATATCAGACCTCGTACTATCTGTCCTTGGATTTATTTCAATTTTTATGTTTTTCACAAAAATTGACTCTTTTTAAAGCGAGATTTGGGAGGGATGGTGTTCATACATGATAATGTATAGCCTGTATGACAGGAAGCCAGAATGGAAATAACTGACATAGATAATACTCATTTGTAGCAATTTCTTAAAAAAATATGCGAAGTGTAGAATTGATATTTTATGTTTATACAGAAATCTTAAATTAAAAGTTTGAACGTCTAGTAAGGTGTGAAACTGTATGAACTAACTTGCAGGCATTTATAGTATTATATTTTTTTTCTGCACTTTGCTTAAGACTAATGTGTATGTACATAGTATTGAGTAACAGTTATCTGCTATAATTCTTCTTTTCTATTATTTATCTTTAATAACGTGTGAAGGGACGAAATTTATTGTCTTTTTCTAATAATAAAAATAAATAATGAATAATGGATATGAAGAGTTGAGTTCAAATATTACCTACTTATTTAATTTCAAGTAAAGATTTTGTATAAGTTCAAAAGACATGAGGTTATCTATATATCAACTAAGTTAAACTCTTGCTCATTATAAACAAGAAGTAACAATCCATGAAGTCGCATAAGAAAAATATCTCAACTTAAGAAGTCAACATTCGAATGACATGCAAAGCATCAGAAAAGAGAATTAAATATGGATACACGGAAAAGGATAAGTGAAAGTGATGTAAAGAGAATATAAAATGCCGTAAGAGAATAAATAAGTAGGCTAAGCTGAAAAGAAATGATTCACAGATAAGAAAAATGACAAAAAAAACTGATTGTTACAAACTTGAGAAAAACAACGACATTTTATAACATATTCAAAGTTCACTAATTCTCACATATTGATTGTTTTAGCTCTGAAATATCCTGTCATGATGGTGAGGGTATTTGTGAATAGAAGACACTAACTCATTCGCATCCGAATCTTTATGTGATGAGTTCGAAGTCATCGAAATTTTTGATTTGTTCTCTAACTCATAATAGGATTCAATATTTAAATAAAAAATATAATTTTACTTATCTTAGATTTACATCATCAATACTATTTGATTGAAAATTCTTATTCATTTTAACAATACACGCTAATTAGCAGAATTAAAACCTAAGATTAGTATAATATTAACGGAAGGAAATTTGACATAATATTATCTATAGAGAGAGAGACATTTATTCTTTGTAATATGACCTAAATAATTTCAAGCACAGTATAATAATCAGAAGTATAAATAATTACATAAAATGACAATTGAAGATGACAGAATCAAATTAAATATGATATAAAAAGCATATCTTCTAAGAAAGAGAACAATAAAATAAAAAGAATTATTTAAAACTAGAACACTTTTGTGACCTATATAGGAGGATAATTTATGGTAGAAAATAAAATAATAACGATTACAACATCAAAGAAGAAAAATTACGACACTTAATAAGTTATTGAGCAGATAATACAATCAATAGAGTTTTTATAAAATGAATATTCATGAAAACTGTAAACAATGACGACACAATAATATTTGAATATAAAATATCGATTATAGTTAAGTTAAGAAGCTCTTCGAAAACCACATGATCAGTTAGAGATAGGGTTAGAATCTCCGAAATATTCTGCTTGATTACAGGGAGGATGGGATGAGGTCAAGCGGATGATCATGTGATGAACACTATTTGATAATCACTAAGAACAGCTAATTTTCTATTTGAAGAAATAACCTGCATATATCAGCTAGATAAACATAAATTTTATCTCGAAACATGCTTTTTATCGATAGACTGAAATAGCACGACTTAGTTACCTAGGTTAAAGCTTAAACTAAATTTGAGGATCTTCTTGTTTTTTTAACTTCAACAGCAATTAGTTAGAAATAATATATATGTCAAAGATAAGTTCGTATCGTATCTAGAGAAAAAGAATGCAGGTGTGGGTGTAGATCTAGTCGTTTACTTTAGACATCCACATCTCTGTACTCCAGATGAAATGAAGTTATCGAACAAGTATGAGTTTTATTCCTTGTTTGTCGTTATGTATTGTCTTCTCTTTTGCTGAATGTTTTATTATTGCTATTTGCAGTCCTTGTCATGAAGTACTTGTTTGATAAGAGTTTTAAAAAAAATGCAAAAAGAAGGCAAACACAACCAGCAACATTATATCAAGGTTAAACACGCTGTAAAAGTAAGATACGGCTCATTCGAAAAAACCAAGACCGCGGTGTAAAGAGCAAAGAAATTCTATCAGTCACAATATATTATTAGCGTATCTCAGAACATTTCAGCTTCAATTACGTGATCATGGTGAGTAAATTATTAGGAAAGTTTGAAATGCAAGAGAAACTATTTTGAATGTTTTACACTTAACGTCAAGACGCTGCGAGTTTTGGAAATCATTGAAATAGATATAGCATTGACATCTGTGATTGACTTTATTTATGCCGATCGCATCCATTCATTTCTCCGCAGGTGTTTCATATTGCTTTGATCTTGTAATTCATCTCAGTTCTATAACCTTGTCTGTGTCATGTGATTTGTCTGACACTTTTTTCTCTTATTACGCATAAAAGAGGACACGAAAGTAATGGTTAACTTTGGATGTAAGTAAGAGTAACAGTTGACAAACTTTTGGTAGCAAACTAATCTGTGTAGATGAAGATTAGAACTTGCCTGCCAGAGATCAATACGTGACAATAAAGACGAAAAATTTCCAACCATAGCCGAATTCGTAACAGTGAGAACAGAGACCTTCGATTCCCTTATTGATTTGACAGCATTGGAAGGGTAGCCTTTACTAGTAATAGTAATGCGAAGCATCAAGAGCCAGCCACTGTGAGCCACAGGAGGACTCGTCAAAGTGTTGACGAAACAACTTCGTTCCAAAAGGTTATGAGCGAAACTCAGATCGAGAAACTTTGGCTTGAGAATTACATCAATATCCTTAGACCCATGGACAGATACTTAAGAAGGAAGAAAGAGTGGCCGATATGGTCTACCAAAATGTGTTCGTGACGAAAAGACCCCTTCGGAAAAACGATATGTTTCGTCGATCGCGAATGCGTTTGGGTCGCATATAATGCAGAAGAGTCGGAAAAGTTTTTCTTTACCAATTCATCTGCCAGAATGACGAAAATCATTTTCCAACCAAAAATGCATCTATCAGAGTATTTTGAAAAGTTTCAAACATTCTACAGAGAAACGTGTTACAAAAGTAAAAGAACTTCGGAAAACCTATACCCGTGTCTTGAGGTAGTTCTATTGAACTTCTAGTTATCAAGGAATCTATTTTGGAGACAATTGTAACTTTGGAAGCAAAGATGAGTGCGTGATTAAAAAGGCAAAAATCTGCAGCAAATCCACGGAATGAGTTTGGACAACAGAGAAAACACGACAATCACAGAAACGTTGGTGAAGAAAGATTAGATAGCTTGCGAACCGTGCCATATATAAAAGTCCTAGCAAAAAGCTTCAGGCTTCAAGAGACGCTTGTAAATAGTGGCGAGAACTTTACGATCGCAGAGAAAGTCCTGGAAGAAAGAGTGACAATGTTCAAGAACCTACAATCTGTGTATGTAATAGTAAAACCTCCAGAATTCGCGAAATGTCTATAGGTAAATGCAACAGCTGTTTTAGTACATAGAAATGTGTTAGAAACGGTGCAAATATATTAGGAAACCGATCGATGTATTACGTGCTTGAGAAAAATTTCACAATAGTGACTTACATCTCTGGGAGACAGAATGATTTTCGATATCAGAGGAAACCGTTGAAAGGGAGAATATAAAAAGCTTCACAAGGCAGCTCTACCTTAAGTGGAAGAGAAAAAAATACCTTCAATGATTGGTATTGGTGCGCGTAGTATCAAGAAGCGTAACCCTTAGATGAATCTATATTAGTTGCGGGTAAAAGCTTTTGTAGTATTATTATATAGAAAGAAAAGAACGAGTAACAAATTTTTCTAAATAATGTTCTATAGAAAAACAAGTCAAAAATATTTTAATCAATTACTTCGAATTCGTAGCAATCGTACGTGATGAATCGTTTTGGTGATATCGAGGCTTCATTTAACGAACTTCCACCTGTTTATGGTTATCATGCTGAAAAGCTTGTTTCACTCGAAAAAGCACTAGAGCCTATCGAATCCCAAATTGATGAACTGCCTCGTTTTATAAACATAGCTAAACGAGATGCCCATTTTCCGTCAGAACATGGACTAACACATGATCAATCAGCTGCAGTTTATATCTATACAATGGAATGGAGTGATACTACTTTGTATCGTGTATTGAATAAAGCATTACGGTCCAAAAATCGGCTAGCACTAAAAATATGGTTTCCATACTTAAAACTATTTGATACAGCATTGAATAAGTTACCTACTGTTAAAGATGTAGTATGGAGAGGTGTACCTCTTGATATTGGCAAGCACTTCATCAAAAACCAAATTTTCACGTGGTGGAGTATTAATTCATGTTCTTCATCAGTCAAAATTATTGAAAGTTTCATTGGCAACAATAAAAATGCAACTTTTTTTTTAATTGAAGCTGTTAAAGGAAAAAATATTTCTGGCTATACAGAATACAAAAATGAAGATGAAATTATTTTACGAATGGGCTCGCAATTTCGCGTGAAGAGCGATGTTTTAAAGCAATCGAATGGTTCACTTCTTGTACATTTGATTGAACTTGATAACAATGATGATCAATCATTAGCATCAACTATGAATAAAATGGAACTAGCTTCAGAGTCATCGAATACAAATACTTCTGGTAAGTTATTTATATGTTTTCTCAATGAAATAACATTTTGCATGACACGTATGTGTAAAATAATCGAAAAATGAAATGTCAAAATACTGATTGGTATATATATGATAAAGAAATAAATTAGATAATTGAATAAAATTATTTAATCAATACGAATTATTTTCATCAATAAAACAGTATTCGATAGAATTGGACCATTTTTTATATTCTGAAGTGATTTGATTCAATCTATGATTCGATACCGAACTACCATAGAAAAAGAAGTATTTCATCAAAATCTAACCGGATTAGACCTGGATTTTATGAAAAGAAACTGTTGTTGATCATTTCAAATCTAGTACTTCTATCATGTCAGACTCCTCGAAATCTTTCTTTCTTAAAAGAGTTCGATGATATTCCAGTGAGGATTAAGAGAATTCTCTTGAACATCACTATTACCCTTTCACCTATATACTTGTTCTCGCCTGTCGCTTTTTAAGTTCTTTGAATCTCTATTACTTCCTTAACCTGTCTGGCTTCCATGAGTCCTTTCACTCAAACAAAGTTTTCATATTGAGGCAACCTCATAAAATAGAGTTTCAGAAACGATCTTGAAAAATTTGTTGAGAAGGTTTTCAATTTAGAATTCGGTATCCGTAACTTTGTAATATCTTCAAAGCTCTTCAACTAAAAACATTGCGTAAAGCTGGAAGGTTCTCGATTGCCGAAAATGGAAAAGTCATACGGCCATTAAAAGTTTAGAAATTATGTTTTTTATAGTAAAGTTTCCTGTTGTCGATGAATTTCTTACGAGGACTAACTTTGGAGCACTTTATAGACCTATTATAGGCTATTTTTTCATAATACTGAAAATGACCTATCACTTAATAGTCTCTTCGGCTGACATTATATGCCGTTTCTAGAACTAACAACTGTACTAATAAAAAAAAAAGTTAATCGAATGAGTATGTGGCTACTGTTGTACGTGATGCATCAAGAGGAGATCGACGCCAGTGTTACTCTTTACAAGATTTGGATAAACTCTTCTCAACATTTTTCCATTTTTTAGGATTCTGACAGGGTAAATTATTGAATGGCTTTAACGCAAACCTTTTAGGCATTTAAATTTGCTAGTGTTGTGTCTGATACTCATCGATAAGATTCTGCATTATAAACTGTGAATAAAATTCTCAAGCTTCTATATTTGCTACTTGATAGCTAACATACTATTAGTATTAGACTTTTCAGCAGTTTCAAGAATACTAGTTTCTGTATTAACCTTCTTATTGTATTCTCAAAAACTTTAAGGTATTCTTTATCTTTAGTAGAAAGCTTTTCTCTCCAAAGATTTGCGTGGAGTCTTTTCACGCTTTCTCAGTTTTGCACGCATGTAACATGGATATGATCTTGCTAGATTCTTCTCAGGAACCTCCTTAGGAGGAATTTTGTATAGTTTAGCAAAAACCTGATAAAAAATATCATCGGCATTACAGAAGTAGAAAAACAGATAGAATCTTCTCAGCATTTTTTCAGGTTCGCCATCTGACACAGTTCTTTATTTTATTGCTTAAAACCATGTCTGCAGTTTATCATATAGATTATGAATAAAATCATCAGACCCTTATGTTTTCATATCCAGACCTTACATAGGACTACCGTTACTCTTCACTGTATTTCAGAACTGCTACTTCCAGAAAGTTCTCTTTCTGAGAATCTTAAAAATCTTAGCAAAATTTTAGATAAATTCTTGTAAACACGAATTCTGAAGAAACTAGGAAAAGGTTTCCCACTTTAGATCTGTACGAGAGAACCGTTTTTTTTTGTTGAGAATATGTTAGGGAAGGAGATTCTCAAAAATTTTATCAAGTTTCCTTCAATAAAGAAGAATGTCTTATTCGTTGACAACCATGATTATGATTCCTTTTCATTTCCTCGTTCATTGCAGTGATTCCCAATATTCCAGCCAATGCTCGATGGACGCGGTATGGAGTAACCGTTGCTGGAGGCCATGGATATGGTAGTGCCACCAATCAACTCTGGGGTCCTCATGGTCTTTTTGTTGATGATGATCAAACGATAGTCATCGCTGACACATATAACCATCGTATCGTTCAATGGAGGGCAGGTGAGACGAATGGACAAGTAGTAGCTGGTGGCCATGGCAAAGGAAATCGATTGGATCAATTAAATGAACCAACTGATGTGATGATCGACAAAGAGACAGATAGTCTCATTATTTGTGATCGAGAGAATCGACGAGTAGTACGATGGTCTCGTCGTAGTGGTACAGCTCATGGAGAAGTTCTCATCCATCATGTCAAGTGTTGGGGATTGGCTATGGATGATCAGAGATATCTTTACATCTCCGACTACGAGAAAGATGAAGTAAGACGATATGAAAAAGGTGACCGGAATGGAATCGTCGTTGCAGGTGGCAATGGTATAGGTAGTGGTCTCAATCAACTCAATGGTCCGACTTACCTATTTGTTGATAAACAACAGAGTGTCTACGTGTCCGATAGGAGCAATGATCGTGTGATGAAATGGGAGAAAGGTGCAACTGAAGGAATTGTCGTCGCTGGGCATCAAGGTCAAGGAAGTGGTCTGACACAATTGTCGTATCCTAACGGAATTTTCGTCAATGCTTGGGGTACTGTCTGCGTAGCAGACACATGGAATAATCGAGTGATGGGTTGGTCCCAAGCAGCGACACAAGGTACAATTATTGTGGGTGGACATGGTGCAGGAGCAAAAGCAAATCAATTTCACGGTCCCATGGGTTTGTCCTTCGATCGTCATGGCAATCTCTATGTTGTCGATCGGGGCAATTACCGTGTTCAACAGCTTTCTATTTTATAGACTCCTTACGATAAACAATCTTTTTTCTTTTCTTTCCTACTAATAAATCACGCTGAATTGATCAAAGAAATGATTATTCTATTCGCACAGGCTTGTGACAAGGAGCCACACTAGTGGAATTGTGACTAACGTCAAGCTCATGCACGCATAGAAGAGACTCAAATTGTTTACACCAAATCCTACAAAGATAACAGGTGTCTAACCTCAATGAACATGGCTTACCTTTCCCTGTCTCACTAACACTCACTTTATTGAGTCTCACTCCATCTCATCTCGAGAAACATATAAAGGGTGTCTAATATGTTTGGTGTTGGACATTGACGCGATGCAATGTTATTCATGACAAGAAGGAAAGAAAAAGGATTTCGATTAATTCTAAGTCTTAAAAATAAAAAGAAAACAACTTATCCCACTGCTATCCATAGATAAGTGTTGTATACTTAAGATAGCAAGAAACCGAAATAAATAGAAAAGATCAAAGGAGGTCTTTCTCACCATGCTTGTGCTCTTAAAAAAAAAGAAACGAAATAAGTAATGAAAACCAATGCCTAGTTTCTATTTTATTGTATTGTTGGATTTTGTTTTGTTGAAGCAAATCTAAAATATAAAAGAAATAATCATTTATTTGATTCAAAAACTTGATTGATTTTTTCGAAGGAAATCATTCATATTTATACTTCATGATTAGAGATCTGCGTGACCAATTTGTCGTGACCAAAAGAAATAAAGATTATTCGATAATAGTTTCCGTGATGGATGTGGAAAAAATTATCGAATGATCTTTATTTTTTTTTGGTCACGACAAATTGGTCACGCAGATCTCTAGTATGTACGCTTCTCTTATATTCATTTTATTCTTATCTGTCACATGGCTAGTAACGATGAATATGACATTGCTCTGATCGACAATGAAATAGATGCTCCGTTATGTGCTAAACTAATTGCGGAAGAATTCGCTTTACACAATCCGTTGATGGCTTTTAATCGAGTAACAGCTGAGCAACTATTTGAGTAACGCATTGGCTGTTAATCATCAATGTACTCGACGAAAAATTATCATTTCTGATATGACATCGTCCAACGAATGAAATTATTGCAGCTATTATAGCCAGTGATCTATTTTTATATTGTAAAAAATATCCATATGATAATTCCAGTCTTGCATCTCAATATCCAACGAAAGATTTACTTACAGAAATGCTCGACCAATTTGTTCATCATGTTTTTAATCAAGAATGGAAACCAAACATGGTTCTAGTTCTTGTAGCTGGTGCAACACGATCTAAGCATACAGGTAAAAATTTAGGCGCTCAATTACGTCGGCATGTTTGCCATCATGCACGAAATATAAAAAGTTTTCAATATGCATTTATACAAACATGTAATCCAGCAACATGTCACATCTATATTAAAAAAATGAATGAAAAAGAAACGAGAATTGTTGATCCCGCCACTTGGATATGGAAAAAGAAAAATAATGGTTTATCTTGTCCATTTAAAGATTATAATGATGAACCAGTTGTCAATATTCTTGTCGATTTGACTGAAAAAAATAGCATAGGCGAAGATTAGTTTTGTTTTCCGCGTGAATCAAATTCACAGCTGTTTATCAATAAATCATAAATAAAAACCGAAGTTAAAATTTTGATACCAAAAGATTATTATTTTTCTGGTACCTCTACAGTTCGTCTCCTTACAATTCGTCCCATTCTATGTCGTCCCAGTTACATTTGATCCGATAATTTTACAGAGATCAATCCAATGAAGAAGAAACTGATTTCAATGGTTGAAATCAATTTGAAATTACTTTGTTTGCTCTTGGATCAATCTCCATCAACGCTATTTGAAAATAATTATTATGTAAGCCCTAATGGTTGTGTATAACGAGTCATCGTCATTTGAGAGGCCCATCAAGAATAAATGAGGGTGCGGATGTGGGCGTCAGTGTGGACACTCAATTTAACGACACCCACACCCAGTTATCAAAAAAGAACTAGGTGGGTGATACTAATTCAGTTCTTTGATCGGAAATTGTCACAGGTCTAGTTTATATATATACGAAATAAAATAGAAAAATAATTGAAAACAAATTGACATATGAAAAAGAATAAATAAAATGTTTTATAATAATTGATAAGTTACGTAAAAGTATTTATAATATTAAAAAACATGTTAGCTGTTCATTGATATTTTTTGTTCATGTGATGTCAGAAAGAATTCTTGATATCGTTTTATCGCATCCATTTGTTCTTTTACCATAGGTATTTGATTAGCTGATTTTATTAATTCGTATATATTTGATAGTGTCTGATTTTGCTCATCTGAATGTATCTGATTTGATTCTTTTTCGTATTTTCTTTTAAGTGTTATCAATAAATCAACTAATTGATGATTAAAATCGCTTTGATCGTAATTTTGGCAAATATGTTGTTCTTCTTTAATCATTCTTGTAAGACCCAATAAAAAGGGATCATCTTGTTTTTTCTGAGTTGCTATTAGAAAACGAACCAACTTGGTATATATTTCATAAAGAAGTATTTGTTGTTCGTTCAGAATTTCCATTGATTCATTAGTTTGGTTATTCAGAAGCTCATAGCTGAGTCTATATTGTGTTGGACTTTGTTCGTTGGAAGTACACTGAAATTATATAGGTCTTCCATAAATAATAATATTAAGTATAAATTCTATTATTCTTTAGATCATTACTGATATCTATCAATAATGTCGATATTTGGTTAGGTTATACCATCACATTTAAGCGTTTCAAGCGGAATTTTGATATTAATTTATCTATTCTGAGATTCCTATTGTTGCACATTATTTCAGAGAATAACTGTTCTTTGAAACAAAAAAAATTAAATAATAAAAAATGAAGATTGGAAAAAAATAATGGCGTTGAAATGAAGGTTTCATTTTAACTTTATCTTCATTACAATGAATTCTATGTATATCATCATAGATCTTTGAAATAGAATTAAAAAAGAACTATTTATTTAGATAGAGAATTCTTCAAACGATATTTACTATTTAACAATAGATATTTTGAAGTGAAAATGTTAACATTTAATTTTCTTTCTTATTAATTTCTCATAATAACACTAATTCTAAACTAAAACTTTATTTTATCAAAATTAAAACTTACAATAGACGTTCTACAAATGATAAATCGCTTTTGATTCGAGATTACGTGTATTGTGTAGATAGAAATAAACTATGAATATCCTGAAAAAAATTTGCATACTTAGCTTATTAATGTTTAGATACTAGAATCTTTACAGTATTTTTTTTTAAACGAATGCTGTAATCTTCTTCAGAGTAACTAGGGGAAACTGATTGTCCAATTTCGATTTGAGACTTTGTACATAATCAGACCTTAATGAGAGTAGATTATTGTGAAAGTTTCAAGTCTTTTGATTTATTTCTATCCTGAAATAAGAATATTAAATTTGTCAGCGTATATGAACGATGTAAAAAACTCACTTTGACTATAATTTCAATTTGAAATTCGAAAATCAGTTTTTCTGGACCATAGCATTCGTAGGAAAATTACTGTAAAAGTTCATTATCACCACACCAATAAACTTAGAACGCAAACTATTTTCAGTATATTCATAGATTATTTCGATCTATATAATGCACGTAATCTTGATTCAAGTGCGATATATCAGTTAGACGACTTCTCTCGTTGTTAGAAGAAAAATATCGGAATTATACGTTATCAGTTTTCATAGCTTACAATAAAGAATGATTGCCTTAACTAATCAAACAGTATGGCATTTACTTATATAAAAAGATACAATATAGACTAATAAGTAACAACATCACATTTCAACATTGAATTTTCTTCTTGATAGTTTAGAAGAAAAACGAAAACGTTTCATTATACTTTGTATACTGACCGTATTAGGCAAGTGATGCAGATAATCTGATAATATCCAAAAAGGGCCAAATTTATTACTGTTACGATTACATGTATAACAAATTATTGCTGGATGATCAGCATGTGTTGCACTGAGCTTAATCGAAGAATTTGTCTTATGTAAAAGAATGTTCCGAAGAATATTTCGCATTGCTTCCAACATTGGACGAATCATAAGATTGATTTGTAATTGAGCTTCTTGAATTGATTGCCATTCAATATTTTTACGATATGGTTCTAGTTCATGAGTAATAAAATGTCGAAATCGTTTTGATTCTTCAACAGATCGTAACCAACTGTTTTCGAATTCTTTTTTATCATCTTCATTAAATACTAAATGTTTCTGTAATGCAACTAAATATCGAAAAGATTCACTATCAAAACAAAATGTATTCTTTTTTTCCAATGGAATTCGTTTTATTGAAAATGAATCAAACAATGATTTTAATAATGGTCGAGTATCACCAGGAGTAAAGAAAGTTGATCGAGCATTAGTAAAACAAAAGCTAAAATGATCACGAATATTTTCACCAAAAAATTGAAATAATTGAGTAAAACATGAATATAAAAACGGATTTAATTGATGAACATTAGGTTTTAATAAGAGACAAATACCATTTAAATGTGTTAAATTATTAATAAATGAAAATATGATTTTCATATTAAGTTCATCTTGATTATCACTTCGTGTATCTCCAAAACCAGGTGTATCAATTATACGTATTCGCTTTCCATGAAGAATTTCAAAAACATATGATCTACATTGTTGAGTAACTGATTGACCTGAATTATTATGATCTTCATTAGAATCTGCATCACCAAATTTAACAAGTTCTTCGTCAAACTGATTATTTACTGTAATTAAAAATGAAACAGGTATAACAACAACAGGTTTTCCAGATTGAGCTTGTTCAAGCGTATCAAATCGAAGATAGTTAGCAAAAGCATTAATAAATGTTGATTTACCAACTCCTGATTCACCAAGAAGAAGAATATTGATATATTCATTGTTTGTCGATGATGGTGGTGGAGGAGCTTTTCGTTTTATTGTATCTGAAATCATTTTCGAATTCGATTCACATCTGCCTATTGTTTGTTCTTTTGATGTTAGAATCACTATCTTGTCTAAATACCATGTACTATAAGTAAAGTCAGCATAGACGAGACTCATCTTTGAATTATTTTCTCGTAGTGTATTCATTTGACAATACATTGTCGTCCATTGTTCATGTGAATGTTGTTTTAAAATATCAGTTGAACAAAAAATAGCTTTGTTAGAATCATTTCTAAAAAGTATATCGTTGATTAGTTGTTCATTATGTCCTTGTTGAATTCCTAACTGAACAACATTACAATACTCAATTCTATCATTCTGTAGTTGTCCAATTAATTTTCCTTTTATTTCTAAGGCATTTATGTTAGTAATGAGTTTGTAAGTACGATCTTTAATTTCCTTAGGTGATTCCAAATTCATGTGTGTATTGGATAGAATTTCTTGTGGTTGTCCTTGTCGTACTTTAATAAGTGACTCACGAATACATTGAATATCATAATCGTGATAATGTTTTAACTTTAAATAATCATCACGAGCACTATTCAACTGTTCTTGTAAATTTCCCTGTAGTAATTCAGGTAAATTATGGTCAAGTTTTAATTTTAAGATTTTCATTTCAGATGTTCGTTGTTGTAAATATTGTTCAAGATAATCAATATGAATTCTATCAATATCAATATTTACTGTAGTATTACTATTATGTTGTGGAGAAGATGATGGAATAGAAATGAGGATATATTCCAATTGACGGTGTTCGTTAAAGTTTTTTCTCATTTGTGAAATTCGTCTATAAATATCGTCCAATTTGGTGAACTTAGTTAAATCATGTATATTTGAGTAGCATGTAGTAGATATGATTTTATTAATGAGATGTTTTATTTCCGGTGTGAATTCCATGTGATATTCATTATGATTTAAACAGTGACATATTTGTTGTAATAAGTTATCGATTTCTGTTTCTTGATCAGGCGGTAATTGTAAAATAACGATAGCATGTATACCCCAAATAATTTGAGCTATAATATGTGTTGCACTTGTTTGTAATGTGAAAGATTTATACGATTTCATTACTTTGATTAGATGGTTTTGACATGATTCTATTCGACTTTCTTGATGAATGTATAAAAAACGAGTATGTTTATCAATTACTCGAAGATAATCAATAAGAGAGGCAATACCAGTCGGTTGAACTATTTTTAGCAAGATGCTCAATCGTAATGCATAACTAATACCAACTATTTCAAGTAAATTTTCAGTGTCACGTGTTCGACCTTTGTGTACTACGCATATTAATGGTTTTTGTGATGTAGACAAGTCTGTTTTGCTACTTATAAGTAATTTTCCTAATATTTGATCTTGATATGCATCGTAAAACGATCCAACACTACCAGATTGATTAATAGTAATACGTGTTATATTAGTTATATTTGTTTTGTCTTTATCAGAGTGTTCTCCAGAAACGAAAATGTTTTTTATGGCAGAAAGTATTGATGCCATTAATAATCAATCTAATTTCAGTGATTCAAAGTTTCAAACCTGAAAAACAAAAAGAGAATGGTAAAATGCTTGTTAGAACGATTAAAACCGAAGTACTGTCAC